TTTTAGTTTTTCTTTAGTTTAGTTAAATTTCTGTTTATTTATTTGTTCCACTTCTTTTCTTTTCGTTTTTGGCTTTTTTTCACTCGTCGCCAGTGTATTACTTTGTAATTATAACAACTTTATTCACTTATTCAGAACAACTCATATTCATAACCACAAGTCAGAAAAGCACATTTTAATATAACTCAACGTCAGCGCTCTTCCATGCCAGGGTTGCTCGCCGTCAGTGCTGCCCCCTTGTCAGCTACAGGGTGCCACACATTGTTTTTTCGGATTTGTAGAACCTCACTGCATTCTTGTACTGATTGTGCTGTAAATAGTAAACATTTTTCACATCCTCGACGATGACAAAAAACACAAATAATTTCCGATGAAGATATTACTTGACAGAAAAGGACTCGATGTAATAGAAACACAACACAACTCCGAAAGTTTCTAACAAACTAGCGTTTCTCTATTGGAACAAATTACGTATTCTGAATAAAATCGCCGTATAACAAAATTATATGTACTGAAAGATATTGGAGCATTTTGAGCAACGAGAAATGCGTTTATTTGAACGCCTGCTATTTTTTAAATTATTTTGTATAGTATTTTTACCGATACTTTTCCATTTCGTCAACAAAGTATATTAAAAATTAGTAAGAAACAAGTTGATTTGAACGCCTGCATAGCAACGGATTTTTGGATCTGGCAGGGCATTTCCACCCAAAATTTCGTCTGGCTTCAAACATATAGCCTCCTGAGGATTCACCTTATGATTCATAAAATTTAGCCTGGTTATTATAGTTTTAAGAGTCCTCTTTTAATCGCCACTTTAGCCGCGTCTGGCATCCACTTTCCACCGCCCTACCAGTCTGGCGATTTTTTTTCGGTTTCGGAAAAGTACCAACTCTGATATCCCAAAATGCCAGACTGGTTAAAATAGTGTAATTGATGTGTTTTTTTTTTGCATCCTTAAAAATTCTGGTGGCGTCAAAGCCACCCCTGGAGGGCCGCCAGACTTTTAGTCATAGCGGACTCATCATGAAAGTTCTAGCCTAGTGTAAGGTAATCGTTGCCAGCTCTTGGACTATACGTCTAAGCCCGTTTTTAAACATTTTTGAAAATTAAAAAAAAATAAACATAGGGGCGACATTTTTTTTCTTCCATATAAAAATTTTGTCAAGCATACTTTGTATGGAAGAAAATCAACAAAAGGGTGGGCTATTCAAGGAATGTATATATATAGTATATTTTTGTTATTTTTATACTACGCAATTATATGTAGGTAAATTTTTTGAAAATTTGTCCTGCATTTTCAAATTATATTTGTGGTTACCGTAACTATACCCCATTGCACTGGCTGTGAAAAGTCTAATATAACAAATTATAGGGAAAGCGTCGTCTGTAATAACTGCTCGGCAAATTGGTCATAGCGCTTTTGTATGAATTTCATCTGAATGCTTTTTAATATGTTGAAAACATTGCTGGAAAACCTTAAAATGTTTGCATGGAACCATGGCGCAATAAACAGGTGAAGTAAAAAAAAGGTTTTAAAGGCAATTTTTCAAATAAGGCAATGTCAAAATCTTGTATAATTTCGTCATGGCATGGAACAAGCAAAAGTTACCGTTCCTGTTCGCAGCATATGTATAACACAGAATATTGTTTTGAGTTTAATCTTCAGCTAAAATTTCTGCATCATCATCACTTGCTTCACTATATCCGAACTGTGGATTTCGTTTAGGAAGACGAAGCGAACATATGGTATGAAACAGTGATGTAAAAATATGTAAAATTTTACCTACTCTCAGACTTCTAAATTTGAACGTATACTCGGTACAGGCAGGTGGGATGAATGGCGTAATAAACAGGTGAAGTAATAAAAGAGCTTTCTAGCCTTATTTTCTGACGTTCGGCTGTCTTATAGTCACATTTCATAGGCATGTTTTCATATGAGGCAGTGTTTCTTTACCCTTTTCATAAGTAAAATTATTTTGTGAATATTACTTTCTTCATATTAATTATATCAAATTTTTTGTTTAATTGTATTTTTGGAATAAACAAAGTCCTTTTTCCTTCTGTCAGTAAACTGTTTTTGTTACAAATAGTATAAATAAGCAATGGGAAAAAAACCAAAATTTGTTTTATTTCCAACATTTGTTGTAACTCAGAAAACACATAGGAAACACGTTATTTGATCGAAAGCGTGTATTAGAGTCAAATTAGGGTCAAACCAAGGCATATAAACAGGAAGTAGCACTAGAGAAAAAAACAACATTTGCGTGTATTTTGTTGTTGCTTCTAGTATCGAAATTGTCAAAAACTGTTCTGATTATTTTCTTCTAAATCAATGAGTGTCATGTGAAATACAAACGAAAATAGAATTAAAACAAGTAAAGAAGTATAAGTTCGGGCGAAACCGAACTTTATATACCCGGCGCAGGTATCAAATATCGTCGTTTCAACTTTCTCTAAACTACCTTTGCATGATAATCGGGGCTGTTTTCCCCGATTTCAAACGTTTTAGATAATATTCTGAGTTATGCTTAATGATATAATTGAGCCAAGTTTGGCAGAAATCGATATAGTGGTTATCGAGATACACTTTTATAGTCATAGAGTGGGCGATGCCACGCCCAATTCCTAAAAGTCTATAGCAGTCTTATTTATTGTTAAGAGATTGTTGTAACTATTAACTTGGAGTAAATACGGGAAGCGGGTGTAATTTAAGTCCGATTTGAATAATTTTTCACGAATTTCTTTCCCGTTCCAAGCTTATTAAGTGTACCGAGTTTGATAGTAATTTATAAATCGGTTACCGAGATACACATTTGTGGTCATAAGCGGGTGGCGCCACGCCCACTATCCAAAAATTTATAATAATCTAATGTTCTCCTAAGCGGTGATTGCAATCATCGATTTTAAGTAAATTAGCCTTAGTAGTTGCTGATTTATGGCAGGTGGGCGTGGTTATTGCCCGATTTGAAGGATTTTCAACAGATTTATTAGCTAGGCCCCAGGCAAGGCGCATACCGAGTTTGGCTACTAGATACAGAATTTCATCATAAGTGGGCGGGGTCACGCCCATTTTTCAAAAATTGCATAATAATGGTATTTTTTCCACAATTCTACTTCACATACAAATTTCAAATAATTTGCATGCAATATTAATTGAAATATCGCGGTTATTGCATTTTTCGAAAATGCCGTTATATGGGAAGTGGGCGTGGTTACAGTCCGATTTCGCCCATTTTCAATACCAACCTGCCTTGGATAAATGGAAGCCTAAAATTTCGTTGAGATATCTCAATGTTTGCTCGAGTTATCGTGCACACAGACGGACGGACAGACAGATATGGCTTAATCGACTTCTCTATTCATTCTGAGCATTTATGTATACATTTGTCTATATCTATCTCGATTCGTTTTGGCTGTTACAAACAACCGTTATGTGATCAAAGTTAATACACCTTTGTGCACAAGAGCTCTCGGGTATAAAAATTGAAATTGGGAAAAAAATTGTTGCATCTCTCTTTCTTAGTAAATTTGTTTGCTTCCCGAAGCATTTATCCAGCCTTTGCTAGGCCCGGTAATCAGCAGTTGTGCTGCTGAGTTGGGCGAACGTTCCAAAAGCTGCTATCCAATCGCTTGTTTCGCATGGAAAAAGGTTTCACATGCAAATAGATTTTAAAAATTTAGAATTTCTGTGAGAAAAAATTGAAATATTTGACATTTTCGAGACAAAATATTTTGTATAAAATGTGCCTTGGGTCGAACATGATCATGATGCAATAATGAAAGGTGTTGTACGTTGTGACAGCTCGAAATCGAACTACCTTAGGTCAATATGGTATTTTGGAAGTACAAGAAAAACGGGAAGAAAAAAGCCTTTTAGTTGAAAAAGTACACAATTTTATGCCTTCTCAACAGCGTTCCGATTATCTGAATAGGTATATATATGGCTTGGTAGTCTCATACAGTTGTAGATAATTAAAATAATAAAATTAGGCGTGTTTTTATTCACTGGAATATGATAATATGCTTAAATTTTTTGAACTGATGAATACCCAGCTGAAACAGTATGGCATATATAATAATAATAATAATAATAGATTGGCGCTTACACATATGTTAGTGTTTGGCCGAGCTTCTCCTCCGACTTGTGGCGTGCGCCTTGATGTTGTCACACAAAGCGGAGGGACCTACAGTTTTACGCCGACTCCGAACGGCGCTTGTATTTTAATGAGAAGCTGTTTTTCATGGCAGAAATACACTCGGAGGTTTGCCATTGCCTGCCGAGGGACGACCGCTGTTAAGAAAAAACCTTTTTCTATATTTTTTGGGATGTTGCTTTGACCCGGGCTTGAACCCAGGTGCTGATGAGTGAAAGCGCGCACTGCTTACCACTACACCACAGCGGCCGACATATATAATTCCTTATATAAGCCGCATCACAAAGAAAAGTATCCCTTATGAATTTGAAATGTTTCCCTTATACTGTACAGGCCAAATAGAGGAATTGATTTACGTGTCAAGAATGATAGAATACAAGATTGCGCCGATCAGAGAGGATTTTTGAGCGCAATTTTTCGGTGACGTCACACTGGTGCAGCTGCGAGAGAGCAATGTCAAAACGCGAACAAGAATGCAAGAAGAAGAAGACATTTTGCACGAAAAACGTAAACAATACGAAAAAATTTTTTCATAACACATTAAAATGGGAAAATTTATAGATATTAAGCATATATATTAGCTTTAATTAAAGATGAAAGCATTGTAGTGGTGTTGTGCATATAGTCTTTAGGGTAAGTATGAAAAATAATGTTGGGACAAATGTATGTGTTAAAAATGTTTGCCATTTCAGAATCAACGCTCCCACGAGTTAGTCGAAGATGAAATCTTTGAAAAGTATTATCAAAGGTATTCTAAATAATAATAATACAATCTAAATAATAATAATACAACTTCCGACGCGTACCTTGATGAAGGTGAGCAATTAGTGCGTGAGTCTGAGCACTTGCTGCAGACAATTAGCAGCGAAGCAAATGCCGCACTGCGCCAAGCCAACTCAGAGCTGGGTGCGTGTATAGACGAATTCCGTGAAATGTCGCTGCAGGTATCGAAGGATGTTAATCAATTGCAAGATACTGTGATGGCGTTGTTCCAAGCAAGTAGCTAGAGATTAATAGTTTAGTATAAACTTAATTCAGTACCTTATATTATTTTCAGGCGCGTTATAATCCCATTAAGATATGCGATTTTCTGCTGGAAAACTGTTTAGAGCCACTAATTTTGAAGCCAGTTTCATTGGACTACAGCGAAGAAAATCCCGAACATGTGCGATTGACACTTTCATACTCGTTAAAAGAAATGAGTCGAAGCTTACGTCCTTCCTACAAGAAAGGCTTTGAAAATATTAAGCTGGTTTTGAATTGTTTAGCCAACATAAATGTTTCAGTATCCAATGATCAACAACATAACAACATAATGCATAAGGACTTGCAAGATATGGCATTAATTGCTGAAAAGAATTCCGCGGAAGATGTAGCTAAAAATCCCTTTCTATTTCCTTGCTGTATGGTCTCGAAGGGCACACTGGTGAGTGCATTATTGTTTGTATGTCTCTAAAGTTTTACAACAATATTTGGTATATTTTTTAGGAATTGATTAAGTTGATGGAGCGCATACTTCGCCAATCACATGATACAGAAGATGAAAGTCTGTTAAACGTTATCTGCGTCATATTGATTTCGTATGTTGGCGAAGTGCCGAAGATACATGAGAAGCTTCTAGAAAGCATACCACAGCAATCTGCTCTGTTCTATAATAATTGCCAATTTTTAGCACATTGGGTGACCACGAATTCAGAAAAGGGCATACCCACATACCCAGGATTGGTTAAGACCCTACATATGAGTGGAAGAAAATATTTGAATGTACAAATCAATTATCAGCAAAAGATTATCATGGGCATACTCAAAGAATTTGGTAATTTTGTGCATAGATACTTGAAACAAGTGCCTATTGTATAACCTTTTATATAAAAAATATTTGTATTCTCTTGCAGATATTTCCGATGCACACACAGTTGGCACTGCGCCGTTGAAATTATTGCGCCAGTGTTTGCGTCAATTAGATTTGTTGAAAAATGTTTGGCAGAATGTGTTACCCGATGCAATTTATAACAAGACATTTTGCGATATTATACATGATTTTTGTAATGAAATAATACGACGTATACTCGCAATGGAGGACATTTCGGCAACAGTGGCAAGTGAGTTGAGTGAGCTAATCGGTGTCATATTGGAGAAGGTGCCAACTTTATTCAAGGTAAATTTCTGATGGGATGCAATGATGCGAATCAAATGCTATTTTTTTTTGTACTTCCTGCAGCACAAACATGAAGTGATACATATTAAATCTTGGATGAAACTTGAGCAATTGAAAATGATACTGAATTATTCGTTGCAAGAAATCACCGAGCAGTGGTGTGAAGGTGCCGGTATTTTAACGGCAAACTATAAGGCAGAAGAAATTAAGCATCTCATACGAGCACTTTTCCAAAATACCGATCGGCGCGCCAAGGCATTAACGAAAATTGTCTAAACAAGATACACTGCGTTTTTTCTGGTAGTATAAGATTTTTATTCTAAAATTTTGAAATAGTTATTAAATAATAGGTATGTTTTTCTGAAATATTTCTGATAAAAGTTTTCGTTGCATTCGCTATTTTTTTGGTAATATTCGCAATGTTTACATGCCTTCAAGCAAGAATTGTGCACAGATAATGAACGACGACTCATCCATCCATTCTATTATCGGCGATCATATCTGGGAAAATACAAAAGCACAAAGTTTTTCATAAGTTATTTATAAATGATGTTTTTAATGGTTTAATTGGAAGATTGCAATAAAAAACTTATTTATGTACGTATATTGTTATTGTTATTAGTTGTGCTATTGTCGTATGCATATCGCACACCATCTGTAAAAGGGGCACAACTCAAACAAATTTTCGTAGATTTTTACGCATAAATCAATCCATATGAATGCAAATATGTTTTTCTGATTTTTGAGTTGTACCACTTCAGAAGATGGTGTGCGATGCAAACAATAACCGTCTAAGTCGACTTAAGAATTGTATGCGAATTGCATGCATGAGGCTGTACTCGACTTAGGCGGCTATTGCTTATGACCACAGATATAAGTAGAATTTTTATCTCTTTGTTTAATACTTGCGGCCCTGAAAAGGGCCTTTATGTTAAGCGGATGAACTGAAGAACCGTTCTCGTTACGAACTGCAAAAGATAAAAAAAAAAAAATTTTAAAGAAACGTTAGATTTAAAAATTATTGATATTTTGTCAGACACTATACCTTGTACATTAAAAGAACATTAATATGAAGCGACATCAGACAGTTTCAGTTTTCTGGACCAATACAAGCAAATCTAGGTCAGTATTTTTGTATATTTTCTTTTTTTTGTGCGGGCGTTTTCAATTAGTTTTTTATTAAGTTTTCTTAACGTAAAAAACATTCTTGCCCTAAAAAATATTTTTTTTTATTTTAATGTCGCAATTTATACTAGAAGCTTGCTCAATATGTTTTTTACAAAATCATTTGTAATGAGCAAACCATCTTCGTTCATTGCTCTGAATACTGATTCTAGATTGCTTATATGTTCCATCATACTGCTGCTAGGTACAGATAATCCTCCTTCACTTAAGTGATTTACCCATGTGTAGGAGGGATCATCTGCGCCTTTGAGTGAGGTGCTGGGGATATCGTCTCGCAATCGGTGGCATATGTATCCGGCTAAATTTTCTAGACCATCGTACTCTAGATCCTCAAACTCTGGTGGCTCTATATCGATAGGCCATTTTTCCGAAACAACGTTTTTTCAGTATGGCACCTATACAAGTAAAGATTAAAATTTGCTCTCCATGTTTTTACACATATCTTCGTATTCATCCAAGCGTTTTTTCAGCTGTTCCACCTCATAGTCATGCTTCTTTTTCTGATTACCCTACTTTTGCTGGAGTGCCGCCAGTTCCATGTCCTTCTTTTTGTTATCCATTAACAGAGTCTTGTTTTCTCGCTTAAGTCTTTTTCTACGTGTAACAAAATTAAAACTTTAAACACAGGAATATGCCAACATGTTTAGATTGCCTTATTGCTTTTACAAACTCACAGTTGAGCTTCCAGCTCCTCAACTTCTTCCAAACTGCTGTCGTAGTAGAAGACTTTGCGAGGTGTTGAAGTCGCGGGGATTTCGGAAAGATTTGCATCCACTAGGCTATTTTCCTTATTCTCCACATTTTCGTCAATCGGAACAACGTTGGCACTGTTATTCGCCTCGGCTATAACAACTTATTTGCAAATATAAGTCGAAACTTTCTTTAAAATCAAGTTGTTACCTTCATTGACTGCGACAGGTTCACTCTGCTGAAGTAACTCGCTGACAATTTGTTTGTACTCCTCGCGCTGAACACTTTCGGCACGCTGGGAGGTTTCCCCATCCTCTGGGTAAATGCTGGGCACAGCACCACGCTTTAAAAGGCGTTTTTTTGCAAATCCTAAAGCGTTTGCAACAATAACATTAAATGGAATGAATTTAGAAAATACACAATATATTACCCATTTCGAACTGTCGATTGTTTTCTATATCTTCACTAGAAAAGTGCTTCATGCACACGTAGCTCGATTTGGGATTCAATAATGCACTTCCTCGCCGGCAAAACTGCATCCACTTTCTGGCGAGAGCTTCGTCCGTAGGAAACGAAAAAAAGCTTATATCGCACGCTTGCCTATAGTTTTCACTATCACAATTTGCCACTGCACACTTCATATTGCCTTAGTATAAGTTTATAAAGTTTAAATAATCGCTTTGAATTGCTTAAAATGTCGCAGAAATAACACACAAATAAATTGCTAAGTTCAAAATCAACAATTGCACCAGTGTGACGTCATACAAACAGCTGATTCTGTCAAATTCGTTAAGAGAAAAATAGCGGTACCGAGATCGGCGCAACCTTTGTATTCTCTCAATCGTGTTTACGTGTGATATTTTGTCTCCCTCTTTCAAATGGGCTTCTTGTGCGCATATATCAGGTTTGATAGCTGTTGACCATACCAATAATGACTCATACTCAGTTTTACTAGATCAATTCGTGTTCTCGAGAAAAAAAAAATTAACGATTCAAAACTCTGAGTATAGCGGCCAAATTATTTTCTCAAAATTTTGAAAATTCTTCGTTTTTTGGCCTATATTTGCTTTGTATGGTATTTGCCACAAAATATAGACCGAAAACGATAAATGTTCAAAATTTGGAGAAAAAAGATTTTTCAGATTTTTGGATCGTGAAAATTTTTGTTCTCGGAGAACACGATTTTATCTAGTAAATCTGAGTATGAGGCATTAGTGGCATGGCCAACAGCTATTAGAAGATTGAAAAATGCCCTATCTCAGAACTCGGTTCAAAAACACCCTATCTCAGCTGGCGATCCAAAAACGCCCTATCTCAGCACATTTTCAAAGTATTTTCATTTGAGATAGGACTTTTTTGAACCGGATAATAATAATAACATACTATATACATATCTAGTTTCAACATAAAAAAAATGATGTACACATCATTAATGGTCTATACATATCTAAGTCAAAATATGTGATATATATGTATATACCAGGGTTGTTGCGAATATTCGCATTCGCATTCGCAACCGCGGAGCTTCCGCATTAATTTTAACATTCGCGTTCGCTTTCGCATTCGCAATAATCAATGCGGATCTTTTGCGAATGCGAATATTGAAGGGACCGAAAGTAACAGTTATTTTCTTTACGAGTTAAACTTGGCCAAATATTTTTTATTCCCAACTAAAAGTCCTTTCCGGACAATAAACAAACCGCTTATCCAAATTAAACAAGTTTGGTATCAAATGAAAGAGGACTTAAATAGCTTTAAAACTGAAATGTCTAAACAAGCAAAGTCACCTATTGAAAAATATTTCAATAAAAAATGATAATTAATTACCATAGAACAAACCTTGGGCCAGGTATATGAATTTCTTTAGTATTAAATGATATACAAAAATATATAAATAGAGGTGGTAACCTTCGTTCGTTATTTCTGTTTAAAAGTTATTTCAGTCCTCTCACATGATACCAAATTTGTTTAATTTTGATAAGCTGTTTGTTTATATCCAGAAAAAACTTTCGGAATAAAAAATATTAGGCCAAGTTTAACTGGTAAAAAAATAACTGTTTCGGTCCCTGGAATATTACGCAAGTGCAATGATAAAACGTATATCTGGTCAGTCACAGAAGAAAGGATCAAAAATGAATTACAAAAAATAAAATCGAAAAACGCTGTTGACGTTACTGGTTCTCCACATTCAGAAACAACCAAAAGAATGAGAATGCAGAGTTCTTTGGAAAACAACGGTGTTTAATCAACGATCTTGCCATGATACTAGATTGTGAAGATGAAAGTCAGGAGGATACATACGACATTTGCAGACCGATGCAATTCCCAAAAAAGAATTATTGCACCGCAATAAAAAATAAATAAATATAACTGAAAGTCCTCTCGACTGGTGCAGCGTCAATCGAAAAGAATTTACAATTTTGTCAAGTTTCAAGTTTTTCGCAGCGAGCGAGTAGTTAGTTAGGTGCGCAAGTTAGTGTAACAGAAAATACACTACTGTACCGATGACATCATCCAATGTATGATACAGAATCAGTAGTTTACATAAAATATTCCTATTGAACATTATCAGCAACCAAAACATTCCTATTGAAGATTATCAGCAACCAAAACATTGTCAGCAAATAAAAGATTGAACATTATCAGCAACCAAAACATTCCTATTGAAGATTATCAGCAACCAAAACATTCCTATTGAAGATTATCAGCAACCAATAAACAAAAGAAACCAGAGCCTATTATACTGAAGCATATGAACTTCAGGTTAGAATTGATTTAAGTACATCTTGGTACCAATAAAATTATATTTATTTATGTACATCGAGAGTATGAATTTAACTGGGGGCTCCATAACTGAATAATAAAAAGAACTCCTAAAAAATCAAATTCCACACGTCCTGAAAAAGAGGACAAGGAGAACCAAAAATAAAACTGGACCGCTTCCGAAAAAAGCGATTACAAGTGTTTGATCAAGGCAGAGGAATCATTATGGAAGCAAGGGTAGTAACCTTGGAACAAGCTTAAGCCGCTGTAGAAGCACAATTAGCCCAGCTGCAGCAAGCGCAAGTACCTGAAATCGAAGAATTCCAACCGATAAGTCCCAGGATAAACAATGCAAATGAAATAAATTTGAGACTATTCGAATGGCTACCAGTGTTCAACGGAGACACATCCAAATACAGGACATGGAGGGCAACCATCATATCAGCAATGAGTCCCATAGAAGCCTTTCGAGATACCAAACTATATTACGATGCATTATTTATAATACGTCACACGAAGATCGAAGGAGAACCAGCAACTCTTCTACAGAATCATGGCACAGTATTTCACTTACAAGCAATACTCCAGCTTACAGCTACGCCGGTACTAGAAGCTATAACGCCCTCATAGAGGAAATGAAAAGACAAATACAAGGAAGACAGACGCTATCCGAATTCCACAGCAAGATCTGTTAAATCTTTAATTTAGCAATGACTAAGTGCGAAATTGATTACCCAGGGAATACTCACTCTCTACAGCAGGTCACAAAAGAAATGGCCATAGATTGCTTCCGCAATGGCATAAATGATGAATTTACTCAACACACATTATATGCAGCAAAACCAAGAGATTTAGAAAGTGCCTACGCAATTGCCACGGAGATTCTTTATAAAAGGCAGAACAATCCGATACGACGAGAAGCTTATAACTACCCCAAACACCCACAAAACGAACGGAAGTATCAACCAGGAGTTCAACCTATTCCCCACATGGAAAGATCAAACCCGACACCAATACACGTGGATACATCAATAGGAAGATTCCGGCAACCCACGAATAATCAGCATCAACAACAGCAATCGTATCAACAGAATCCCTTCAGAAACTACTATGAACGCCAAAGAGCAGGATACGCACCTTTCAATCCCAATAGAGGAGAACCATTTAAACGAAACCACCAACCAACGTCATCCAGATATAATATAGCACCACAGAAACTACAAAGGATCAACCAAATAACGGATAATAATAGTGATCAGTCATTAAGGGTAAATATAGATGAAAGCGAATTTGAAAATAGAGCTACTTTTTTAGACGAGTAAATAATCTGCCGTGTCTTCAGATTATTTTACATGATAACAAAAAACTATTAGTTTTAATGGACACAGGTTCGACATTAAATTATATTAGGAAAAATATTTCAAATGCAAAGACCTTCCCAGTTAAACAATTTGTTAGTAGAACTCTGAATGGTTCAAACACAATAAACTCAGCCAAGAAGATTAGAATGCTAGGACAAGAATTAATATTTTTTGAAATCGAAGAATTAAAAGAATTTGATATGATATTAGGAGAACAATCCTTGAGAGAAATGAAAGCTAAGATAGATCTGTTCGAATATAAAATGATGTATGTCAGGAGAACAGAACAGAAGAAAAAAGAAATGGATGTCAGTCAAGTAAATTTCACAATAGATGAGAGCAAATATAAAAAAGAAGTTGAAGAAATTATGAGAATTAATGAGGAAACAAATCCTATTTTACCATTTACAACAACAATTGAAGCGACGATCCGCACTAAAACTGAAGAGCCAATATGGACGAAACAGTACCCTTACCCCTTTTCAGACAATAATTTTATAAATAAAGAAATAAATAAAATGCTAGAGAATAATATAATTAAACCCAGTAAAAGTCCCTATAACTCACCCGTATGGACAGTACCAAAGAAAGGAACTGACGAGTTAGGAAACCCTAAGAGAAGAATGGTCATAGACTTCCAGAAATTGAATAGCGAAACCATTACCGATAGATATCTCATACCCGATGTCAACATGACAATACAGAATTTAGGTAAAGCAACTGTTTTTACAACCCTAGATTTGGAAGCAGGTTTCCATCAGATAAAAATCAAGGAGTCAGACACCGAAAAGACAGCCTTTAGCATAAACAGAGCAAAATATGAATTCTTAAGGCTGCCGTTTGGACTAAAGAACGCACCTTCAATATTTCAAAGATGCGTAGATGACATATTAAGGAATTACATAGGAAGATTCGTGCATGTATATATAGACGATGTGTTAATATATTCATCCTCACACGATGAACATATGGAACACATAAGAATTTTTATAAATGCACTGCGTCAAGCAAATATGAAGATTTCATACGAAAAATCTCATTTTTTCAAAGACAGCACTGAATATTTAGGACATATTATTAAACATAACAGAATAACCGTAGACCCACAAAAAATTGAGACCATAAAAAATGACCCGGTGCCTATGAATCTGAAAGAATTAAGATCATTTTTAGGACTAGCAGGATATTATAGAAAATTCATCAAAGACTACGCCAAGATTACTAAGCCCCTAACATTGTTTTTAAGAGGAGAAAACGGTCTCGTAAAGAAAAATCAAAGTGAAAGAATGCAAATAAAATTAGATGAGGAAGCCATAAAAGCGATGAATATATTAAAAAAGGAATTACAAGCACAAGTCGAACTCTTTCAACCCGATTTAAATAAACCCTTTGATTTAACCACGGACGCAAGTAATTTTGCCATAGGAGCTGTGTTATCCCAAGGTAGAAATCCCATTTGTTTTATATCCAGAACACTAAGCGAGACGGAACAAAAATATAGCAC